TGCAGTCCCCGCCGCCGCCGCCGCAGCCGCCGCGTCGCTGATCCCGTGGCCGCTCCCTTCGCCTCCGCCATGGCGCGGCGCCACGGGTGGCAGCTCCCCGCCCACACCCTGCAGGTCCGTTCTAGTTCTTCCTTCTTTATGTCCGTCTGTGCTCGAACGCGCAATGTGCCTCCGGATCTCTCCGCCGCGGGACCGGAATTGTTTTCGCTTCGGCGCTTCCGAGGCCGAGAGCCGCGCGCTGTGGCGTTTGAAAGTCTCCCTGTGCTTTGCCTGCGCGATGCTGGCGACTAGCGGGTTTAGGTTAGCATGAGAAGTAAACTACTGATGCGCGTCTTTCGTTTTGATCTGATGTGCCCCGTCATTTTCCCGTTCCATTCTTAGTTTTATTCTGTAGTTATGTGTGTCTGATGTGATGGTCTGATGGGACTGATGGATTACCTCGTTTACCCGCATTTTTTTGGGTGCTGCTGCGCGACTTTACTCTGAACTGTGTATGTTGGCCATCTCCGCTGTTCCGACGCGAAGTAGTACATGGATTTGATTTTCTTAGGTTTCCCTTTGATGCCATGTGACCCGAATTTCATGCGGTGCTTCGTTCTGATCTCACGCGCAATGGTGCGAGTATGTTTCTGCTCTGATCTGGCATTTTTCTCTGAAGGCAATTAAACTGTTGCTTTTTGTTGGTTCCCTGTTGGTCTCTCCTGTTCTTTGTCTTCGATGTGATGGGGGTTGAGGGATTCTGGCCTTGGAGTTTTGGACTTGGAGTTTCTCGGCTTTGGCCGCCGCCGCCAACTCTGTTTGTTTTCTTGTCTCCTTCCTGTTTGTACAACCAACTCGCTTTAATTAGTTTTGCAATTACAGGCTAACTACGAACTGTGTGAGTTCCTTTCACTGGAATGCCGAACTTTAGTTTGTTTAGTCCTTTGTGTGTTGTACCCATGGTATGGGTGCATCCGTGTTCAAAATGACGGGTTTTCAGTTCAATGGCGTTCACCTTGCTGTCCTGTACTGACGTAGTATCCCAGCTTAATTGTATACTGGTTCTGGCTAAACACATTGTATCTGAGGAAAAGTGTGAGCTGTGTAATAAGAGCTTAGTAGTCAACTGAATTAGCGAGTGTTTCATGACTATCAGTTAGATATTTTCAACTGATTTTTGGCTTATGACCTGAGTTCTGGGAGGACAAGACGTTTGGCCTATGCATCTGGTCCTATCAAGCGTATCCTCTCTTTACTTGAGATCATCCAGTTAGTAATGTCTCTCTGGTACATGTACAGACCGAATCACCCTGCTTACCTTCATCTGATCGTCTTATCTTCCCTTCCTCATTAAATTCAAGATAGCAGTTTAAAAGATCAAGCAAATAGGGTAAGGTCTTTTTATCTTTGATCTTGTACTTCACAAGAGATCTGCAATATCTGAGCAAGCGTGTTAACTGGTTATCTTGTGTAAAATATTTAAAAATTCACATGTAAATTTGATGGTTTTATGCACTTCAAATGCTTATTGTTTATGAAAAACCTAGGGTTAGGAGTCCTTAGTTCGCTTTCAGCTTTTTGTGGAGGTTTTGGTCTTGCTTTTCTGCTCAACCTGTGGCGTCTTGGTTGGATTCACACTTCCTTCTATGCTGGTGTCACCACAAACTACAAGCTGTTTGAATTTTTGAAACAAGTACACTCCAACTCCCCAGGTCATTACTTATTAAGGCCAATGCTAGCTACTGGCCTAAGCTTCCTCCTTGAGCTGTTTTAATTTTGTCTAGTTTTAGCCCTAGTGGTGTTTGTCAGTGCTCGGTTCAGGTTATGTTTGGTTGGTTGTGACCTGTGTTTTCTTGTCGATCATTCGGTCGATGGTTTCATGTACTGAACACTCTTTCTTCTTCTATAAATGTTCACATGCAGTTCTCCTTAATGGTTCGGAAAAAAGAATTGAGTGATCATTTTTTTTGGCAGGTG